CAATTGTAATAGATCGGGATTCGTCTGAAGGATTTGCTTCTCTCCAGTTTTTAAAACAATTTTGCCTTTAACGAGCTGGTTGGGCCAATAATAATGGATCGGGGTCCGTCCCGCGAATTTTTCCTCATCCCCAATTTGTTCTTTTTAAAATACTGCAGTTCTTCTTTAAGAAGCCAGCGAAGACGACCGCAAGAGCAACAACCATTCACTTCGGTTTCCCGCCTGGGCGGAGTCCAAAAGGCGTCACGTGATTTGGAGGAAAAGAAGCGAAACTAAACTTTCTCTTTCCTTTTGGAGGCGGCGATGGCGGCCGGAGCCTCCTTGCAGGATTTGCTGGTAGAAGCCACCTGCTCCATTTGCCGGGACTATTTCCAGGACCCCGTGTCCATCCCGCAGTGCGGCCACAACTTCTGCCTGTACTGCCTGACCCGCAGTTGGGGGACGTCGGAATCGGAGGCTTCCTGTCCCGAGTGCAGACAGACCTTCGCGCCCCGCAGCGTCCTCCTCAACCGGCAGCTGGCGCGGGTGGCTGAAGTGGCCAGGGGATGCAGCCGCCATCCGGAGGAGGAAGGTGGGAGCTTCTGCCCGAAGCACCGGGAGCCCCTCAAGCTCTTTTGTAAGGACCACGAGACCCTCATCTGCTTGGTCTGCGACCGATCCAAAGAGCACGAGGGCCACTCGGTGATCCCTGCGGAGGAGGCTTTCCAGGAATACCAGGTAGGAATCAGCCAGGAGGAATCGTTGCGGGGAGGCATCCAGATCCTTGGCTTTCCTGGCAATCCTTAGATCACTTTACTTGCTTCCTCTGTTGTCCGCAAAATGGGTTTAGCCTTCAGCAGATCCCAATCAGAACCAGACAGGAGGTTCAAAGAACTTTAATTGAACTACTTCAGCTAAACCATCTCAGCAGCTAAAAAAAGCCGAGACCCCTAACCATATACAAATAGAAATTTTACACTTTTAAAATCATTCATTCAAGGTAAAAATCATTCATTGGTTCCCCTGACATGAGTTTCTTTTCTCCTCCTCCTTCATAAATTGCATATTATCAAAAAGGGTGTGTGTTTTATTATAGTAAGTTTTTTATTACAGGTGACTCAGGCAGCTCCATTTAATGTCATTGCAGGTAGGCCTTGGACTTAGAACCATTCGTTTAGTGATGATTCGAATTTACAACTGAAATGGAAAAAGTGTCATAAGATTTTTCACCCTTGTGATCATTGCAAGCATCCCTGTGGTCACATGATCAAAATTCGGACGCTTGGCAACTACCATGTATTTATGAGAATTGCATCTATCATCTAACTGGGTCTTCCCTCCAATGTAATTCTTTACGGAACTCAAAAGTTGTATTTTCTCTTCAGATCAAGGTGGAGGATTGTCTGAAGGCTCAGAAGGAGCAGAAAGAAAAAATAGCTACTTACAAAAGAGACACAGAGCAAACAGTGCAGGAGATGCTTGTAAGTATTGATCCAATGCTGAGGAGCTTCTGAGCTAATAGGAAGGAGAACCCCATCCGCCATCTTGGATAATAGGCAGCCTGTTTGCAAGTACAAGTTCTGACTTAAAGGAAATTCAAGCTAAAGACAGTATTAGGGCACAGAACTTGTTCTTAACCTGAGGACTGAGATGTCACCATTGCCTGAATGAGTCACAGTTGGGTTAAATGCAGCTATCCCATGAGCCGTCTTTTCTACAACGGGTTTGGTTGACATAATAAATGCAAACTGTATTTCATCTTATTGAAAAAACTTGTGAACTCAAACATTTTACTGTCTCTTTTTTTGGAATCCCTGATTGCCAAGAAAATTTTCATGAGAGATCATTTAAACCTAAACCTTTTTCTTTTTAGAAACCTTCCCCTCTGCCCTTTTTTATATCAAAAGGGTTATTTTTCTCCTTAGGAAAGTCTCCCGCCTCAGTTCTGGAAGGGAATCCGTTTAATTATTATAGCAGTTAAAATAAAAATAAAGTAAAATAATTAAAATAAAAGTATGCCTTTCTTGTTCCAGGACCTCATTGAAAAAGTCAAAAAAAATATAGTGGCTGAATTCAGAGAACTACAACTCTGGTTGGAAGGACAGGAGAAGCTTCTGCTGGCTAGAATGGAAGAGACGGAGAAGGCTGTTATGGTCAGAAAGGAGAAGGGTTTGGCCAAGCACATGGAGGAAGTGCGCTCTCTTGACCATCTCATCCAGGAGATAGAAGAGAAGCTTCAGCAGCCAGCCAGCCAACTCTTACAGGTCAGGACAGGAAGTGGAGATCATAGAATCCTTGGGCTGGAAGGGACCTTGGAGGTCTGCTAGTCCAGTCCTCTGCCCAAGGCAGGAGTCCTTATTCCATCCTGAAAAAATGGTTGTCCAAACTGTTATTGAAAGCCTCCAGTGATGTATAACCCAGAACTCAGGGAGGCTTGCTTCTTGTTATTCCCTCAGGTGCTATGGAGAGTAAATCCATGCCCTTTTCCCTAGGAGAGCCCTTCAAGTATTGGAAGGTGGCTGTCGTGTCTCCCCTAAGCCTTCCCTTGGTTAGGCTAAGCATACCAAATTCATTGAACTGTTTGGCCTCCAGAGCCCTTATCATCTTTATTGCTCCACTCTGCATACTTTAGCTCCTCCACAGAATATTCTTTTTGACTCTTTCCTTTTTCCCCATAAATTTAATCAAAAATATAATAGTGAAAAGTACAAATGAAGATAAAGAAATAAGTGAAATGGAGAAGGATAAGAACGGGATAGAAGTGTAGGATAAAGGGAAAGAAAACATCTTTTTTTCTGCACAGTAAAATGCAAAATAAAATTACAGCCTCAACTTTTTATTTTTGCATATCTAGTCATTATTAGCCGTGTCTATAAAAACAAATTAGCCTAAGAAGCAAAATCAAGCATCGAGAGTTCATTTTTTCCTATCTCGGGCACAAAGTTTAGAAGCAGCTTCCAAGTACAAATAATGGGTCATATCTAATTAAAGCAGTCTTTTTTTTTTTTCATTTTTTCTAGCGCCATCACTTTTTCCATTCTTT